TTTTACTGTGCCTATAGATACCTTTGTACCTGTTTCCTCCAGCATCTTCACAAGGTCCTTTGCTGTTGTTCTGGGATTAATTTGCACTTTTCGCACCAAAGTACGTTCATCTTTAGGAGACAGAACGCGTCTCCTTCCTGAGCGGTATGACGGCTGCGCGGTCCCATGGTGTTTATACTTGCGTACTATTGTTTGTATAGATTAATGTGGTACCTTCAGGCATTTGGAAATTGCTCCCAGTGATGAACCAGACTTGTGGAGGTCTACAGTTTTGGCTTGGCTGCTTTCTTTTGATTTTCCTATGATGTCAAGCAAAGAGGCACTGAGTTTGAAGGTAGGCCTTGAAATACTTCCACAGGTACACCCCCAATTGACTCAAATGATGTCAATTAGCCTATCAGAAGCTTCTAAAGCCATGACATCATTTTCTGGAATTTTCCAAGCTGTTTAATGGCACAGTCAAACTTCTGACCCACTGGAATTGTGATACAGTGAATTATAAGTGAAATAATCTGTTTGTAAACAATTGTTGGAAAATTTACTTGCGTCATGCACAAAGTAGATGTCCTAACCGACTTACCAAAACTATAGTTTGTTAACAAGAAATCTGTGGAGTGGTTGAAAAACGAGTTTTAATGACTCCAACCTAAGTGTATGTAAACTTCCGACTTCAACTGTATATATATACTGAGATCATGTGACAGATCATATGACACTTAGATTGCACACAGGTGGACTTTATTTAACTAATTATGTGACATCTGAAGGTAATTGGTTGCACCAGATCTTATTTAGGGTCTTCAAAGCAAAGGGGGTGAATACATATGCACGCACCACTTTTCCGTTATTTATTTTTTAGAATTTTTTGAAACAAGTTATTTTTTTCCATTTCACTACACCAATTTGGACTATTTTGTGTATGTCCATTACATGAAATCCAAATAAAAATCCATTTAAAATTACAGGTTGTAATGCAACAAAATAGGAAAAACGCCAAGGGGGTATGAATGCTTTGGCAAGGCACTGTACATATTTTGTCTTGTCCATTCACCTTCTGAATGGCACACATACACAATCCCATGTCTCAAGGTTTAAAAATCCTTATTTAATCCGTCGTCTCGTCTTCATCTACACTGCTTGAAGTGGATTTAACAAGTGACGTCAATAAGGGCTCGTTGCTTTCAACTGGATTCACCTGGTCAGTCTATGTCATGGAAAGAGCAGGTGTCCTTAATGTTTTCTATACTCGGTATATATGGTCATTTTTAGATATACAGGGTAAAGTTGATTAATTTCATAACGAGGACATCAAGCACTTTTTTGAGGCACACCGCATGGCCGAAGTGAGAAGAGAAGATCATTCCGTAAAAACGTCCAAATGGTCAAAACCATCCAATTTGGAGATGGAGGTGAAATCCAAAGTTTTGCTATATATTCATTGGCTATGTCATAGCTATTTTGTAAATGACGTTTCAAACTATAACGTATTGTTCCTTTATCGAATCGGAGCCCATGTATCGAGCTAGATACGTATCGAATCGTCTTGAAAGCGAAAGATGCGCATGGCTACACTACCTCATCTTAAGTCTTAGTTACTGTAGGTCTGAATCCATTAAATAATGTGCTGTGTACTGCCAAATTGTTCTATTTCAACAGTGAGTATTAAATGTCCTTATTGTGTTACGTTCCCCCCTCTAGCTGTTCCCCAGGAAGTGCACCTGGCTCTACATCATCAACAACAACCTGATGTCACTGTCAGGTGAGTCAGTGGGACTGTCTCTGTCAGGTGAGTCAGTGGGACTGTCTCTGTCAGGTGAGTCAGTGGGACTGTCTCTGTCAGGCGAGTCAGTGGGACTGTCTCTGTCAGGTGAGTCAGTGGGACTGTCTCTGTCAGGTGAGTCAGTGGGACTGTCTCTGTCAGGTGAGTCAGTGGGACTGTCTCTGTCAGGCGAGTCAGTGGGACTGTCTCTGTCAGGTGAGTCAGTGGGACTGTCTCTGTCAGGCGAGTCAGTGGGACTGTCTCTGTCAGGCGAGTCAGTGGGACTGTCTCTGTCAGGTGAGTCAGTGGGACTGTCTCTGTCAGGTGAGTCAGTGGGACTGTCTGTCAGGTGAGTCAGTGGGACTGTCTCTGTCAGGTGAGTCAGTGGGACTGTCTCTGTCAGGCGAGTCAGTGGGACTGTCTCTGTCAGGCGAGTCAGTGGGACTGTCTCTGTCAGGTGAGTCAGTGGGACTGTCTCTGTCAGGCGAGTCAGTGGGACTGTCTCTGTCAGGTGAGTCAGTGGGACTGTCTCTGTCAGGCGAGTCAGTGGGACTGTCTCTGTCAGGTGAGTCCGTAGGACTGTCTCTGTCAGGTGAGTCAGTGGGACTGTCTCTGTCAGGTGAGTCAGTGGGACTGTCTCTGTCAGGTGAGTCAGTGGGACTGTCTCTGTCAGGTGAGTCAGTGGGACTGTCTCTGTCAGGTGAGTCAGTGGGACTGTCTCTGTCAGGTGGGACTGTCTCTGTCAGGTGAGTCAGTAGGGACTGTCTCTGTCAGGTGAGTCAGTGGGACTGTCTCTGTCAGGTGAGTCAGTGAGGACTGTCTCTGTCAGGTATCACAACAACCTGCTGTACTGCAGTCTGTCAGAGATAGAGGCGGTATCGATCATAGCCAGCTGCTATGATAACCTACTGCTTTGTTTTGCTGTTATCTGACTGGAAACACCATTACATCATATCTATTCTACAGGAGCAATACCATTACCTGGTATCTACACACCATACTGTAAATACAATCACCTCAAAGCTATCTATAGACCAGAAGTAACAGTTTGTTTAAAAGCTTTTGGATGAAAACCCCGATAAGATGCGCTTGACTGCATATTGTTGTGAGTCATGTCTTTATTGCCTACTGCTGTGTGGAATAGATATGGCGTTTATATGGACCAGTGGTTGTAAAGACTCCTGGTTACAGTAGCTATGTAGATAGTTTGGACAGATACACTACATGACCAAAAGTATGTGGACACCTACTTCTACATAGCTACTGTTGAACATCTCGTTCCAAAATCATGGGCATTAATATGGAGTTGGTCCCCCCATTTGCTGCTATAACAGCCTCCACTCTTCTGGGAAGGCTTTCCACTAGATGTTGGAACATTGCTGCAGGGGACTTGCTTCCATTCAGCCACAAGAGCATTAGTGAGGTCGGACACTGATGTTTGGGCGATTATGCCTGGCTCGCAGTCGGCGTTCCAATTCATCCCAAAGGTGTTCGATGGGGTTGAGGTCAGGGCTCTGTGCAGGCCAGTCAGGTTCTTCCACATTGATGTCGACAAACCCATTCCTGTATGGACCTCGCTTTGTGCACGGGGGCATTGTCATGCTGAAACAAGAAAGGGCCTTCCCCAAACTGTTGCCAGAAAGTTGGAAGCACAGAATCGTCTAGAATGTCATTGTATGCTGATTTAAGATTTCCCTTCACTGGAACTAAGGGGCCTAGCCCGAACCATGAAAAACAGCCCCAGACCATGATTCCTCCTCTGCCAAACTTTACAGTTGGCACTATGCATTGGGGCAGGTAGCGTTCTCCTGGCATCCGCCAAACCCAGATTCGTCCGTCGGACTGCCAGATGGTGAAGCGTGATTCATCACTCCAGAGAACGCGTTTCAACTGCTCCAGAGTCCAATGGCGGCGAGCTTTACATCACTCCAGCCGATGCTTGGCATTATCCATGGTGATCTTAGGCTTGTGTGCGGCTGCTCGGCCATGGAAACCCATTTCATGAAGCTCCCGACGAACAGTTATTGTGCTGACGTTGCTTCCAGAGGCAGTTTGGAATTCGGTAGTGAATGTTGCAACCGAGGACAGATGATTGTTATGCGGTCCCGTTCTGTGAGCTTGTGTGGCCTACCACTTCACGGCTGAGCCGTTGTTGCTCCTAGACGTTTCCGCTTCACAATAACAGCACTTGACCGGGGCAGCTCTAGCAGGGCAGAGATTTTGCGAACTGACTTGTTGGAAAGTTGGCATCCTATGACGGTGCAATGTTGAAAGTCACTGGGCTCTTCAGTAAGGCCATTCTACTGCCAATGTTTGTCTATGGAGATTGCATGGCTGTGTGCTCGGTTTTTATACACCTGTCAGCAACGGGTGTGGCTGAAATGGCCGTATCCACTAATTTGTGTGTATATACGTTTAGGTTACATTTACGTCATTTAGCAGACGCTCTTATCCAGAGCGACTTACAAATTCTTCATATTAAATGTAACTTAAATAATAATAAAAAAGTGCCTAACTAGCTAGTTTGATGATTTCTGAAACATGAAATCAAAAGAGCAATATACTGCCTTCAAATGCTACTCAAAAGTGGGAAATACGAGGTTCCGACTGGGAAATAAGCACTTGAACGACCCTCCCAAGTCAGAGACAGAGAAGATACCCAATTTAAGAGTTGTGATGTTTCATCACTGACCTTTCATCTTTTCAACCATAAGATGATAAAGCAAATAAATGTTTGACGCTGTCAAACTTATCAATGTGGATAATAGCTAGCTTGACCATATTGTCAAAGTTAAGCAAGCTAGCCAACTTTATCGTTAGCAATGTTAGCTAGCTCATCTTGCATAGATGAAATCTCATTGGTTGAAGAATTGCTCTGACTTCTAAAACAGGACTTACGACTTCATAACTGGGAAATTTCCCGGTCCTGACAAGCATCTGAAGGGACCGATATTCCATGGGACTTGGGACGAGCTGGTTCAGGTCAAAAAGGGGGTAGTGTGAGCCATATTGCTCTTCCGTTGTCACAGACGAAACTATATGAGAAATCATGACAACACTTCCTGTTGGGGCACCTCCTCTTCCTGAGGGCCTGGTCTCCTCCTCACTCAGTTGTCCAGCTTCTTGGTCTTCCAAGAGGTTGGCAGTGGAGCAGCGTTACCCAGTGAATGATGTTTCAGGAGGGCTCTTCTTTTTTTGTTTTTTCTTCTTCGGGTCTTTTCAGAGAAAGCTCTAGCGATTTTCAAAAAAGCTTCTTCCGCGTAGATTTGCCCATGTGCTTGAGTTTGTCACGGAACAAGGCATCATCTGTAACATTGGTGCAGGCCTCCCCAGAGCCTGAGGCATAATTATCTCCTGGAGAGGACATCCCCATGAAAGCTGGTGAATGATGGGACTTGGATGTCTTTGACTCACACTGCAGCCGATCTCTCTCAAGGGCGATGAGGAACTTGCGGTTGCGTTGCAACTGGTCCGTCTCCATGCCAACCTGGCCAGCCCTGGCCGCCGCCCCAGGCTCAACAATGTGGCAGACTGCCCAGCTGCTGAGGCAGGATCCGCAGGAAGTCATCAGGGAGGTCGCCTAGTAACGGTGGGTTCCAGTTCCTATAACTTCCAGTTCCTGTAACTTCCAGTTCCTGTAACTTCCAGTTCCTGTAACTTCCAACCTGCCTTTGACTGGCAGGAGGGGGTGGACCAGGAGGGGGCTGGCAGGGACGGGATTGACTGGCATCAAAGCTGGGTGGTGGTGGTGAGGCTGTGGGCAGGACCTCATCTGGGTACTTCCTGTCGTAGATGTGCATGTCATAGGAGGGCGGGGAGTAGACCGGCGGGGGCTCCTCGTCAGAGCTGTCCGGCTCCGACGTCCGCTCCAGGATCTCAGGAGGGATACTGTCCTCTGAGTCGGAGCTGTCGTCAGAGCCGTGTCCGTCCAGGCTCATTTGGAGAGCAGCTGGTTGATAGTGGAGTCCACGGCTCCGTGGTTGGCCCGCAGCACATACTCCATCACCTCCTGCTCCATGCTGGGGAACATGGTCCTGAAGTCCTCCGTAGCCTGGTTGAACTCCAGACGCCGCACCGTTCGCCCCCCCCCCCCCCCCCCCCACCGGGATTACTGTTGTTGAGTTCAGCTGGGACTGGGCTGTCGCTGTGCGCCGCCATGTCACCATGGTTACCGCTGCTGCTGCTGTGGCGGCGGAACAGGCTGGTCATCATCCAGAGAGTGTATGTTGTGTAAGACGTGAAAGTAGAGTTGAACCATTTTCTCTGAGAAAGACTCAAACTGTAGTTAGTTTATGCACGTCCCAATGTGTATAGCTCATCTGTACTAGAGGTCTTCACGCACCCACCTGTACCCGAGACCCGATCCGGTACCCGAGCGGGTCCGGATCCAGAATTGTAAATAATATCACTGGTCTGGGTCGGATCTGATTCTCACGGGTTTATGCTGCTGCTCTTGCTTTTCGCGAGAGTGTAGCGTGTAGCGTGTAGCGTGTAGCATGTAGCGTGTTCTTGGTCAATCCTCAGGCAATAGGATACAGTCATAGAGTCTCCGTGGGGAAAAAGTTAGGAAATATCTAATCAATGGAAGATGGAATTAAAATGATTAAAGTTTAAAGCAAAGGTGAGGCTACAACGACCAAGAGCCAACAGGTAAGCTGCTACTTTATATTCTGAATGGAGTAGTTGTTATTTGTAACTGTAGGACGAGAAAGCGCATGCGCTGCAGCCTCAATTAGCCTAGCTAGCTCGCTTAACTAGCTTCTCCCGGTTTGATGCAGTCAAGACAGGTACTACGTAATCATATTGGATGATAATTAACCTCGTTATGGAAGCTATAGCGTGAGTGTGCTTGATTGGTTGCTGTCCCTCTCTCCCTCCCCTGCTCCCTGTGTCGCTCGCTCACACTCGCAGTAGCTTACACACACACAGCACGACCCCGGCTAGAGACTGGAAAAACTGCTTCTATCTCAAGGTCATCAGACTGTTAAATAGCCATCACTAGCACATTAGAGGCTGCTGCCTATAGACATTAGACTAGAAATCACTGGCCACTTTAAGAAATGGAACACTAGTCACTTTAATAATGTTTACATATCTTGCATTACTCATCTCATATGTATATACTGCATTCTATACTATTCTACTGTATCTTAGTCTACGCCGCTCTGACATCGCTCGTCCATATATTTATTTATATATTCTTAATTCCATTGCTTTACTTAGTTTCGTGTGTATTGGGTAGATGTTGTGAAATTGTTAGATATTTCTTGTTAGATATTACTGCACTGTCGGAGCTAGAATCACAAGCATTTCGCTACACCCGCAATTACATCTGCTAAACACGTGTATGTGACCAATAAAATGTGATTTGATTTGAGCATCACCGCTTTGTACCTCCTCTCCCTCGTACTTTATCAGCTCCGGTTAATAAAGTAGCTTAAAAATGGACTTTCCTGCTGCTTCCCTCACTTGAATCTTCCCTCACTGCTATCCATCACAAATCTCTCTCTCATCTCCTCTGGATCCGACCAGGTGTATATGGAACGGGTCTAGTTGTCCTCGGGGTCCGTTGGGAACGGGTCTCCTATATAAAAAAAAAATAATAATAATGATGCATTATCGGGTCTGGATGGGGAAAGCCCTCAGGTTCATTTTCTTTATGGACCCGTGAAAGGCCTCTAATCTGTACCAAGTGTGGTATTATCTGTGTTTATTAACCACTGTTGAATTTCTCTACACGCCGCTCTGTTGTAAGAAAGTGAAAGTAAGCGTTTCTTACCCGTTGTAAATTATTACCAGGTGAACTTTTACTGTTTGTTCATCCTACTATAAAGTTGAAGTAGGTCTATGCCTCGCCTCAGAGTAAATATAATCTCTGTCTCTCCTCTCTTCCTCTTGGTCTCTGTCCCCTCCTCCTCTCTTCCTCTTGGTCTCTGTCCCCTCCTTCTCTCTTCCTCTTGGACTCTGTCCCCTCCTTCTCTCTTCCTCTTGGACTCTGTCCCCTCCTTCTCTCTTCCTCTTGGACTCTGTCCCCTCCTTCTCTCTTCCTCTTGGACTCTGTCCCCTCCTCCTCTCTTCTCCTCTGGTCTGGCTTCATTATGGTATTCTACTAATCGGCTTCATCAGAAGGTAAATCACCATCATCACAGCCACACCCCTGTATTGTATATTACCCATAACTAGGGTTGCAAAATTCCGTTACGTTTCAAAAAAAAATCTGGCCTCCTGAGTGGCGCAGCGTTCTAAAGCATTGCAGTGCTGAGGCGCCACTACAGCCTGGGGTTCGATCCCACCATCCGGGTTAGGGGAGGGTTTGGCCGGGGAGGGTTTGGCCGGGGGGGGGCTTTCCTTGGCTCATCGTGCTCTAGCGCCTCCTTGTGACAAGCCAGGCATCTGCAAGTTGACTTCGGTCATCAGTCGAACGGTGTTTCCTCCGTGACATTGGTACAGCGACTTCCGGGTTAATCGAAGTAATGTGTTAAGAAGCAGCGCGGCATGGCAGGTCATGTTTCGGAGGACGCATGTCTCGACCTTCGCCTCTCCCGAGCCCGTTGGGGAGTTGTAGCGACGAGACAAGGTCATAACTAGCAATTGGATATCACGAAATGTGGTAAAAATTACAAAAAATAAATAAAAATATTCTCAACATTCCCAGTTTTTCCAGAAATCCCAGGAGATTCCTGGAAGTAGGATGGAATAAGCAGGACATCCAGTAATCCTCCAACGGGGATTTCTGGGAAAACCTGGACATTTTGGGGAAGTTACCAGAATTTTGTAACCCTACCCCTAACCTCTCCTAAACGTCAAGCTAGCTTCCATCCAGCTGATCCCAGCCCTTTATGTTAAGATTAAAGTTGATATAATTTCACGCTGGCTCCTTTTAAAACTAATTCGCTGTTGATGATGAATACATCTACACTTATAATAACATGTGTGTGTTTCTGCCATATTATCATTATTATTAATTATTAATTATTATTATTAACAGTCCTTCAATCTATCTTAGTGTTTGTTCAACTATACAGGATGTCATAACACTGTAAGAGATGTCTGTGACCCCATAAAGGACACCATGCTTGTGTCCTAAACTGCTCCTTGTTTCCCATAGTGCACTACTCTTTACCAGAGCCCTGTAGGAATAAGGCTGCTTAATTTGACGCGCTCCTTTTAACTAATTACGCTAGTTGATGATAGATCACAAGACTCCTACTTACTCTACAACTGTTGTGTTTTGCCAGTGAAGAAGTGTGGTTATTCATGAATATCACCGTTAGACAGATCCTTCAATCGTGTAGTGATCCCCTAACAGATCTCAACTACTTGTAATGGATCCCCTGAAAAGGGTCCTATCTTTTGTATGGATCCCGTGAGAGAGTGGACTATTCTTGTAATGGATCCCGGTGAAGAGGAGGACCTTTTCTTGTAATGGATCCCGGTGAGAGAGAGGGACCTTTCTATTGTAATGGATCCCCGGTGTGAGAGAGAGGGACCTTTCTATGTAATGGATCCCCGGTGAGAGAGAGGGACCTTTCTATTTAATGATCCCCGGTGAGAGAGAGGACCTATTCATTAATGGATCCCCGGTGAGAGAGGGACTATTCTATTAATGGATCCCCGGTGAGAGAGGGGACCTATTCTATTTAATGGATCCCCGGTGAGAGAGAGGGACCTATTCTATTTAATGGATCCCCGGTGAGAGAGAGGGACTATTGTAATGGATCCCCGGTGAGAGAGAGGGACCTTTTCTATTGTAATGGATCCCCGGTGAGAGAGAGGGACCTATTCTATTCTAATGGATCCCTGGTGAGAGAGAGGGACCTTTTCTATTGTAATGGATCCCCGGTGAGAGAGAGGGACCTATTCTATTGTAATGGATCCCCGGTGAGAGAGAGGGACCTATTCTATTCTAATGGATCCCCGGTGAGAGAGAGGGACCTTTCTATTGTAATGGATCCCCGGTGAGAGAGAGGGACCTATTCTATTCTAATGGATCCCCGGTGAGAGAGAGGGATATAGTCTAATGGATCCCCGGTGAGAGAGAGGGACCTTTTCTATTGTAATGGATCCCCGGTGAGAGAGAGGGACCTATTCTATTGTAATGGATCCCGGTGAGAGAGAGGGACCTATTCATTCTAATGGATCCCGGTGAGAGAGAGGGACCTTTCTATTGTAATGGATCCCCGGTGAGAGAGAGGGACCTATTCTATTCTAATGGATCCCCGGTGAGAGAGAGGGACCTTTTCTATTGTAATGGATCCCCGGTGAGAGAGAGGGACCTTTCTATTGTAATGGATCCCCGGTGAGAGAGAGGGACTTGTCTAATGGATCCCCGGTGAGAGAGGGATTTATCTTAATGGATCCCCGGTGAGAGAGAGGGACCTTTTCTATGTAATGGATCCCCGGTTGAGAGAGAGGGATATAGTCTAATGGATCCCCGGTGAGAGAGAGGGATATAGTCTAATGGATCCCCGGTGAGAGAGAGGGATATAGTCTAATGGATCCCCGGTGAGAGAGAGGGACCTTTTCTATTGTAATGGATCCCCGGTGAGAGAGAGGGATATAGTCTAATGGATCCCCGGTGAGAGAGAGGGATATAGTCTAATGGATCCCCGGTGAGAGAGAGGGATATAGTCTAATGGATCCCCGGTGAGAGAGAGGGATATAGTCTAATGGATCCCCGGTGAGAGAGGGGGATATAGTCTAATGGATCCCCGGTGAGAGAGAGGGATATAGTCTAATGGATCCCCGGTGAGAGAGAGGGATATAGTCTAATGGATCCCCGGTGAGAGAGGGGGATATAGTCTAATGGATCCCCGGTGAGAGAGGGGGATATAGTCTATTCTCTTCACCTTACAGATCACCACTAAAAAAATATAGAATGAATACAACGGACATGAGTGTACAGTCAAATTGCTGTGGTCTGGGGGCTTTTCCCGGTCTAGTCGTTCTATTTCTATGGTCCACCACACCACTCCAACCACCATATGACTGTGTGTTGACATAGACTGACTGGCTGTTTTCTCTCTGCAGGAGGTTTGCCTTGACAGCTAAGATCCCTGACACAAAGGGCTGTCACAAGTGCTGCATTGGTGAGTTTACTATACTAGATCTGCTGTACCCCTCAACCACTGTCTATTTACTAGAGCAGATGTACCCCTCAACCACT